GCTGCTCGAGAATTATCACGATGCCTCCTATATGCATCCAGGTCTACGTCCAAAGGATACTTCCAATAGCCTTCGATTACCATCGTATTCTGTCCTGCAAGAGAGGGCGCAGTATTGAGAGGCCCACCAATTACCTCCATGCCAATGAACTGCGTTCCGAAAACACGTACAGCGAGCCAATTACCACGCGCATGCAATTTTTCGGAAACCGAAGCCTTAGAGGCACACAATGACGCCTCAGCAGTTGGAAATGGCATATGGAAGGCGCCGATCGATCAGGAATGAAACAACTCTGGCTGGTGGCTGGCTGACCAGTGGACACGCCAGCACGCTTCAGGCCTCTTTCTGGATTTTGTTGGCCTTATAATTTGTTTCTCAGGAGTATGCAAGCTACCAGAATTGTGTCCTGGCATTGCCAGGTGCGACTGAAATGTACAGACATGTGTAAATACTTAGCTCGTCTGGACAATCATGCCATGTCCTGACGGTCAGATCAAGACCAGCTCGACGAAGATGATTCATCGACGAGGAGCAAGAATACGCGATTTCTGAGCCAAAATATTGCTGCGCATCTAGAAGGACACTTTCGTGTATGTTTTTTCAGGACGTAGCAGCATTAGTTAGTATGTGTTGTAATTTATGCCTGTAAATCTGTGGTCAATTTGTGTTCAAAATATAACTTGGTAAGTAACAACTGTATATATAACCAAGAACCGTGTTTATAATCTGGACTGGGCTACGGTAATAACACATGTATAATATAAGCAAGGCGTATTTAAATTGGGAGGATCATTTTTAATGATAACATAATTATGATAGAACTAGGTGCTGGAGCAGATTTTGATTGTATGTGCTGATAAAATTTTGCAATATATTGAATTACTATTTGAACTGAAATGTTCTTTCTGCAATAAAAAGTAAAAAAAAATATTAAAAAAATATTAAAAAAATTAAGAAATATGCGAGAAAAAGGTTCTACCACAGTATGAGTTTGAGATTGGAAATATCTCACCCTCATTACAGATAATAACTCGGGTGAGATATCCCATCTCAAGCTCATACTGTGATAGAACCTGTTAGTTCTACGGACGTGTCATCGCAATGAAAATAGAAATCTCGTCAACCGTTGGGCTAACGGATCGACGTTGACATTCTAGTAAGATGCATGCTCACAACTAACGCGAACAGTATAACAACGTACCTGACGGAAGTAACTCCGCACAGACGATAGACAATTCCAGCTTTCTCTTACGTATCGTAATCAGCTTGTCAATGGCGAAGAGCACAATCGGGCCGCTTACGTACATGTAGAATGACGACGACTGCAGTGAAAACGGGTACGCGTGGAAATATTTTAAACTAACGCGCATTCCATACTCGCGAGCACAAAAGACTGCGAAGGAAGCGCGGCCATTACCGTCTCTTCCTACACACACTCCTACACACACCGTCTCTTCCATTACACGCACCTACAATAGACGGCGTCGGAACAGACACGCGCGCCGAAAATAGTTCAGCTGTGTTCATTACGTGGATGTGAACTACAAAGGACGCCTCGCTGATTAGTGACGGCTTGCTTGCGCGCAGGAATGATCATGACGCGACGATGTACATACACCGCTAAGCCTTGCGGATCCGTGAATGACGGTGATGATGTAGATCAATATGTAGAGATGATGCGTCGTCCAAAACGTCTTAAAGGCTCTCAGTCGGACGACGGGCGTCGCGAAGATGTAGAGCGCATAACAGAGTATGACCAGAATGAGCCCAGTCAGACCTGTAGACACAGATGCGAATGCTCACGCGTGTACGATAGGAGTGGCAGAAACTTGCTTGCGAAATTCAATAAAATAAAATTCGTTGAGGGAATATTTTGCGATGGAATGAAGTTTCAAGCGTATATAGTTCTGCGGTTATTGTGGGTATTTATTGTACTGATCGCACTTTATCGCACTACTTTAGCCTGTTTATATCAAACAAACCTGGGATTGTCGCATACAGGAAGTACTGAAAACTTGGCTCGAAC